GGGACTGCAACAGAAAGTATTACCCATATATTTACAATCATCACTGCTAATGCAAGACTTGATAAGCTTAAATTTGTCATACATCTAAAATGAGAAGTTCCTTGATTTAGTGCTAAAAACTGTAGCTGGGTATTGTTTGAGTTTGGGCTGTCATAGTGGCTCATAGGAGCTGACAGTTCTGCTGGAGGTATAGAGGCAGCAGTGGGGATGTTCATGGCTGTGGTCAAATTTTGAAATTTTTTGTCCTATGACAACCTTTTCCTTTGTTCTGTGGTGGACTACCAAGCCAGTGTGGCCTACTGCTGTGTTGGAATGCCTTACAGGTATAGGTAAAAGTGGGATTTTGTCAAAAATATAAAATATTTAAAATATTTTAATACTAAAAGTAAACTGTAGCAATAATAAAAATGAGTGGGCTCAATTATACTGCCACCACTGGTTGAAATGATCATCTGTGGTAATCAATGGTATGATACAAGTGTGGCAGACAAAGATTAGGGTGAAAAAAGCTGGAGTATTACTTTAAACTATGTGTGAATGCTTAAGAGAGACCACCGTTGTATCTTAGCTTCCAAAATTAAACAGGGCACTGGATGCCTTACTGTGCACAGCAGGTTGTTTTTTAAAAGGGGCAGAGCACATTACTTACTATGTCTGGCCTTCTCTGAGTAGCTGAACACTTTCATAGGTCAGTGGAGTGCAGATGTCCATTTTTTAGCATTCTGCTACCTTCAGTTTTAGTATCCAAATATATCATAAGGACCTACATGATGTTTCATTTTTGAGTGGCAGCAGCTATATAGCTATCATAGCAGTCAAATGTTTGGACACATGTAGAGTTTTCACAATTTTTACTGTTTTCCATATTTTTGAATAACAACTCTTAAATAACACATATGGAACTAGCAGCGACCAAATTGTCTTAAATAGATCAAACTATCTTCTATTTTAGAGTTCTATAGAAATGACAGACTATTGGTTCATGAGGACCCCCCGAGATGCTTTTTCAGTAGGACTGAAGAGGATGCACGTATGTTTACACCAAGTCTGCTGCTCAAAACTACTCTTTTATATATGAATTTCAAATGTTTGCATTTTAGAAATAGTAGTACCGATGCTCCTGTATGATACATGTACAGAATTATGCATAGTGCAGTATAGTATAATACATAATGGTGTAGTATAGTGTAGTACAGTATGTAATAACAGAGTTGTGAAGTACAGTGTAGTGTAGTATGGCATAAAATGGGGTATAGTAGTATAGTATAGTGGAGTGTAGTATAGTATAGCACAATATGGAGCAGTGTATTACAGGGTAGTATAGAATAGTGCATAATATAGTATATAATGGTGTAGTGTAGTGTAGTATAGTATAGAATAGTACAGTGTAGTATAGTATAGTGTAATATAGAGTAGTGTAGTATTTTGTTGTGTATATAATAGTGCAGTACAGCGTTGTATAGTAAATAAAGGTATAGACTATGGAGTAGTGCAGTATAGTACACATAGTAAACATAGAGTATGGGGTTGTACAGTATAGTAGACTATATTGTAGTATAGTACAGTGTAGTATAGTATAGAATAGTACAGTGTAGTATAGTATAGTGTAATATAGAGTTTTGTAGTATTTAATAATGTATATAATAGTACAGTACAACATTGTATAGTAAATAAAGGTATAGACTATGGAGTAGTGCAGTATAGTAAACTACAGTAGAGTTTATAAAGGTGTAGTGTGGTATAGACTAGTATAGAATAGTATAGTGTAGTGTAGGATAGTACAGTATGGAGCAGTAGATTATAGTGCAGTATAGTGTAATATAGAGCAGTGTAGTATAGTGTAATGTATATAATAGTACAGTACAGCATTGTATACTGAGGTATATAAAGGTATAGTATAGTACAGAATAGTATAGTACATTATACTATGGTATGATTCTCCTGACAGTGTTGGTTTACCTTCTATAGGAAATGTGTGAAGGTGGATTCTAATACTAATATATAATGGTATCGTTACAGGCTCATGGTATGTGCTTAGTCGAATTAATATTATGTTTCAGAAACAAATTCATGCATTAACATAAATGTCATTGTTTATATTTGTCTTAGTAACAAATGTCAGTTTTAGTAATGTTTTAGTAAGCGTTTTAGCCTTCACGTTAAAACGTTTTGTATATTTCCAATCATATGTGTCCAAACTTTTGACTGGTACTGGTACTATTTACCCAGCACTGTCATTAAATATCGTACTCTGTGGTAGTGTGCAACACTAATGATAACACATATTCTACAGAAGCAAACATCATAGAAGTGAGGAGAGGAACTCAGATTATCCATTTTTGGTTGATTTTATTTTTCGTTTTGCAGGATCACAGTGTAAGGTTTCACACTCGCAGGTACACAGCCTCATTCTTCTCTCTCAGAGTTCTTCACTGAGGGGTAAAGCTGGAAAACAGCGGCCCATTCTTTAGTATTACCCTTATCAATAAGATACTTCATACATAATCACAGCATCATATATGTCATCCCTTCACTGCTGAGTGGAAATAGTCTGATGGTCTACATGGTAGTGCTGCTGTTATTAAAGGAATATGCCAGTGTTTTACAATATAACTCCCATTTTCTGCATCTGCGGAGTATAGTCGATTACTATGGATAATAATATTACATTTATTTAGAAATAAACAGAAAACTTGCGGACTCAGAACATGCTTATAATAGAAGCCAATGGGCAGTTGCAGAGTTCCATAAGTAAACATTTATGTGAAATATGTATTTTTGTAGAACTTTTATGATTTCTTCAGTCATCTGTTCTGGTTAATTCCTTCTTTCAGAGACTGGACTAGTATGTATTCATTTAATTCATGAATTCAGCAACTACCTGTTGGCTTTGGTTAAGATGAGCTGTGAATCTACAAGTTTTCTATTCTTTTCTGAGTACAGAGAAATGTGTCGGAAGTATTATCCATGGTAATATGCTGTACAACACCAATGCATTAGGCAGAGATTACATTGAAAACCACTGGAGTATTCCTTTAATTGTGTCTGTCATGTGTGCGGTAAGTAAGAGATGAGTCTGGCTGCAATGACCTCTCCTGCCCTGCTAAGCCCTTGGATCAGGGCTGCTGGAGTAACAGCCAGAGCCAGCTTTAGCTTTAGCCGGAGGCTCCGCAGAAGGAGAAGTCTGATCAGATTTCAGCACGCAGGCCTATCTGATGCTTCCCCATGGGCGCTGAGTGCTTTCTCTGGACCTGCTGTTTGGATATGATAGCGATGTTTTCTAATCTCTGTGTGAATGTCATTCCCTAGACATGCGGCCTGTCCTCCAGCAGCAAAAAAGAGTGACCACCACTGGTAGGATTTCATAATAAGCTGTATTAGTACCCAAGACTAGTCAAATCAAACCTCTGCCTATGTTTCTTTACATTGCAGTAGTGACATTAGTGTGTAGTACTCTTTTATTCAAAGGTTTGGAATCACTTTTTGCATTTTTAATTGCTCTTTTATTCAATAATAACTTATGTGGTGTAGGTTAACATACATTAGAAGGTATTTAAATGTTTCATTAAATGTGTAAAGTGCCTTGTAGATGTTAATTGTATTGTAACTTCAATATCAGTCTAATAAAATGTTCAGTTTCAATGTTTAAAGGGCCCATATCCTACATTTTCTTGCTTTTTTCATGCCTCTGTTTGCCTATAACATTAGTGTGGTTTATGCACCAAAAACAGTCATGAATCATTTTTACGTGAACATTTTATCCTTTAGAATTGTTACTGTGCCCTACAGACTGATATATGTAATGAGCTCTGTTCTGATTGGTTGCCCGATGTGCTGTATTGCAAAACTGCAGTAGGCTAAATAGATGGATATACATAAATGTGTTGGTTTTGTGACATCACAAAAACAATGACTCCAAAACAGGCTTAGTTTCCAGATATGGACTGTATGGGCTAAAGAGTAACCAGTACGTTTTTAAACTTTAACAGTGTCCTATATTAAACTTCTGTCCAATGTAAGGGGAGTTCCACCGAATTTTCAAAGTTTTTGTATGACTCAATCTTTGAGGAGTGAAAGTAATTAAAGAACTGAAACTTACAAAAGATCATTACTTTCATTTTTTATTTTACATTATATTTATTTATTTATTTATTATTAAACAGTCAGTGATGTAAATATGTAAAATATGTAAAATGTGTGTTCTCTCATCAGCCAATGGAACGGGGGTAGGGCAAATTTCTGGCAGGCCCAATCAAATATCCTTGCAGGCCAACTCATGCCCACTTGGACATCCCTGTTACTGCTTTATCAGTCATTTTAGAATCATGCTCAGCTCAATATTCACTTATTCACTACGCTAAGATTTTTTTTTTGGAACAATGTCATAGAAGAACCATGTTTGGTTCCCTAAAGAACCTTTCATTGTTTGATTCTTTCATTGTTTGATTCTTAAAAGGCCCATTTCCTACATTTTTCTTTACCAGATTTTAAAAGGCTGGTTTTGTTATTGTGCTCTTTAGACTGATATACATAAATGATCTCTGTTCTAATTTTGCTCCTCATTCAGAAACCAGACTGACCTGAAACACTCCTTACAACTTCAGTGTGAATGGGTGGAATATATGGATATATGTAAATGTGTTGGTTTTTGTGACATCACAAAAGCATTGAATTCAAAATGTCTGTTTTTGCAGTTTGGTTTTTACACATCCACAACAATCTGTACATACTACATCAAACTTCAGTTTGCATGATGTGGGTCCTTTAAATAATGTCCACATTATATAAAGGCTCTATACCAACATTTGTTTTCCTAGAACCACAGATCTAAGTTAAGAACTCTTCAGGAATGTAGCATCCTATTAGAATCATTTTATAAATGCATCTGCAACTCAGTTGGTTTTATATATGTTGTAAACAGTGATTCCAGACCTCTGAACAGCAGTGCAAGTAATGTAAATGAAACCATGTCATGGCATTCCCATCTACATGAAATATACCTTCTTCCTCCTCCTCTGGCGCTACCAAATTAGTCATAAAGGTCAAGATTGCGTTCATCCAGTCGGTGGACTCCTCCATGGCGTCCGTCACTGCCTTCACGGGGTCTTTGCTCATGTGCTGAATGCCCCCTGAGTGCATTGTGTAACAGGCTTACATCAGAGAAGAGTCCCCGCATGCTCAAAAATACCCTTACTGTACACATTCAGGGGAAGGCTAAGCTAACACACAGTTCAAACATCAGCTTGTGTAACAAGTCCAGACATCAGAACACCTCAGAGCATCATCACCTTTCAGCAAAACCCATAAACAAAACATGAGCTGCTCCTTCATTTATACATCACGCTCACATAATCTCTCTATTCCTTCACAGTCCGTCTGATCGATTAACAACAAAGCCAGCAGACTGAAAAACAATAGGCTAGACAAGGAGATACAGAAAAGGCATTTTAATCATGTTCCAGGTCGCTGCTTGCGGTGTGGTTTTGGATTTCCTCCTTTTCCTCTGTCCATCCATTGTCACGTGGGTCAGCTCGTAAACATTTTTTTAATGAATGTTAGCTAACAGGGGCATGTTTAGGCCAACCACATAGCAAAACGCACAGAGCCGCTAGGCATTATGCAGAGACGATGCAGAGCATGCAACTTTCCAAATTCCCCTGACTCACATTATGTGTGTGCACCCTGCTAGTTATATTGCCATTAAAATACATTACAGGTGAATCTGAATTGCATTACTGTATACAGTGAAATAACCAATGCACAGAATTTACAGTTGTAAGCAAAAGTTTGGGCACCCTTGATCTACATGTTTTGTTGACGATTCGTTTACATGGAGCAAACTTAAATATGGCATTTTCAATTTCCAATTGTAGTGCATAATTTGTATTATTTAGTTCAACATAGTGGGAAAAAAATATAACCTAAAATATAAAATGTGCACAGGCCACATTTTATGTTTCATTTTTTCCCAGCATGTTACATTAAGCAAATAAACAGTAATTGTGTATTAAAATGTGTTCCTTGTAGATGATGTGTTGACTTATTTTGACTTATAAAATAGACGTCATTGACCAAGGTTGTCCAAACTTCTGCTTACAACAGTACAAGAATCAAATGTGTATATCATTTCCATATAAATAAAACATATTCCATCAGCACAGTCTTTGCCAAAAGGAAGTAAACTGAAAACTATATTGCTGCAACATATTTTATTCATGTAGAGATAATGTACACATTTGAATCAAATAAATTCATCACTTTTTTTCAGTGCAGTCATCACCAGGTTAAACATCACCACTATGGTCAGAGTATTAAAGCCACAATCAGAGATTTATTGATAATGTTTGTGTTCAAATATAACTTTCATATTGTGGAACAATACTGAAGACATTTTAATTTCATTGCTCTCAGACTAGAAAAACATATTGTATTATGCTAAAGCGAGAAGGATGTAGAAGAGGTGTAGAAAATTATCCCTGAAAAAAAAAATATTTTTGAAAAACTGAAAGCAAGTCTACTGAAAAGAACTGAAGCTGTAATAAAGGCAAAAAGTGAACACATGAAATACTGAAAAAAGATCCATTTAGTTGTTGAGGGTTCTGTATCATTTTCTGTCAAATAAAAATTTTCTCCATTTTTCTGATGTTCATAAATACTAACCTTGGAGATTAAATGAATGAAAGCGTGGTCCCTGCTTTCAAGTATTTATCTCACCACAATTTTTAGTGAACTAAACGTCTCCGATTGTGACTTTAAGAGTGGTCGGTTAATGTTGTTAGCACTGCTAATGGGTTACACAAATACTACTGTTTACTTATATAGTTCAGTGGAGCTCCCCAATGGAAGTCAATAACAAAAACATGGTGCAGTTTGATATTTCTCACTCATAGCTCACTAAAACAAGCAGAGAAGTTTTGTGGAAATTGCCGATTTTAAACTTTCAATCAATTCCATATTTGTTTGTGAGTGGAGAAATTGATCTGCAGAAAAAAAAATCCTTAAAATTTTTTGCCATGTTTTTGTCATTTGCTGACATTAAAAAAAAAACAAAAATCAGAAGTGCAGACAGTCAATGCAGAATATAAATCGCTTTCAAATGTAATTCATGTACATATGTAAATGACATATGACGCATAATTAAACAGTATAGTGAAACAACAGCAATAACTCTTGACTTCTATGTTTTCCCAGTGTATTTATAGGGCAATTCCACCACTGGTTCAAAATTAAAGCATAAATGTTGGTTTGATGTGAGATGCTCCGTTCTAGAGAAATTGACCAGGTCAGAATTTTTCACAGCGGTGATGATAGGAACCAGACAGCTGAAGAGTTTGATCCTTCTCAAAGCTTCCTCACAAAAATTTATTCCATGAAATGGTTATGAATACACTGCCTGATGTCCGAGGCACTGTTCTATGAAAAAGTTTTGGCCTTATTTTTAAACTCACTGAAAATGGTGGAGAACAACATGCAGGGCACTGTGAGGCAAAACAGTCCCTAAAGTAAACTCCTTTTTTTAGATTTACCACTATTTTAACATCATCAACATCACATATAAAAACACAGAAAACTTGTGAAAGTTCATTGATTGTTTTAGATCCCCTGGTTCCCATCACCACCACTGTAAAGAAATCAGAGTTGTAAAGTTTCTGGTAACACTTTATTTGGAGTGGTCCATTGTAGATGATTAATAAACTCTTAACAGATTATCAGTAACACATCTACAACATATCAGTGAAGTAGCAGTGCTGAAGCATCTGAATACACTGAGGTAAACATCTTTTAGATGTTCTGTTGATACATTACTTACATTAAGCAGATGTATTGTTACTATGTTATTTCCACTATGCAAACACTAACGTTACCCAGCCTTACCCATAACCTAACCCTAACCTTGGCCCTAATCCTAACCCTAACCTTAACCTCAACCCAAAACCCAACTCTAATGTTTTTGACATGTTACTGAGAGCATGTTGAGTGTTTGTTTCATCTAAACAGGACCACTCAAAATAAAGTGTCACCAAGTTTCTATACAATGAACAATTTCACATCAAAGCACTCTGAATAATTTTGTTTACATCTCAACCATTCATTTATGCACAAAGAAATCAGTGGAAATTCCTTTTAGCACCAAAATCACCATAACACATCAAAAGCAACTCAAGTACAGATGTTATTTATGAAGCTAGTAAGTTACAGCTGTGGTTCCCAGCCCTGATTCTGAAGCATGTGCACACTGTATGTCACAATATGCAGGACAAGAGGAGTGAAGGACCAGGATTGGGAGCCAAAAGGTCAGTTAAATCAGCAGTTACAGAAGCAAGCACGTTAGCTGAAGAGGCGGCACAAATGACCACTGCAAAGTTCAGAGCAAAAGTGCATAAGACAGCTTGCCTCTAGGGCTGCCTGCCTCCTTGAAGGCTTTCCTGACCCGGCCTGGCTGAGGTCCTGTTAAGACGAGATACAGAGCAGAGGAGTTGCACAGCAACACATACGCAGCCGTAAAGTGCGCACCTTCAGCAGGGAAGCATGCAGTATGCAGGAATGCAAGAGCAACGGCAGACTGCACATTAACCACATTAAACACGACTGATTGGCAGTAACAGCAAGACACAGGCACACGTAGAGAGATGAAGAAGATGAGTGTGAAACAGATGGGATTCAAATGCAGGATAGCTATGCTGAGAACTGCAAAATGTCCCAGTAGATTTGATTTTACTGAATTTATTTTAATATATTTATTTTTGATTGATTTAAATGTGGTGTTGTTTTCACAACTAGAGATGCACAATCTGACTTTTGAGGCGAAAAAGGTGAATAATATATCGGTAAAAACCATCTCTGTATGATATTAAAAAAGGGACTCCACTGTCACTGGGGTGGGACTCTCAAGGGTACATCTACTGTACTATTAGCTTGGGAACATAGTTGTACCATATTCCCCTGTAATTCCCCTGTAATTACTCCATACACCCTGTCTTGACTATCCTGAGGATTTTTATTTTTTCTATTTTAAAATGTTGGACAGTGAAAAGGTACATATAAGTGCCTTACTTCTGGGAAAGTGAATGCAGTGAACTTCTAAAACTAGTTTAAGCTACACTTGTTGTATTTTTAAGGGTATATTTACATATTTACAAACAAAACAGTACCTCCACAGTACACTTTTGTCTGCTGGTGTAATCTATATACATATCATGGTTTTACATAGTTTTTGCATTTGTTAGACTCTCTTATCCAGAGCAACTTACAGCTTCATCATGTTATAAATGTATGCGAATGCTGCGTTAGGAGTCTAGCCCAGGCCCTCCTGTTGGTTGGTGTGTTTGCCTGTATGATTCATTCTGTCATTCATACACCAGTTGTCCACATGCAGGGCAGTGGTGTCACCCATACGCTATTTTTTAAGACTTTAGTAATGGAGGTTGCTCCTACAGATGACCTATTAAGTTCATAATATTAAACATTCACTGTGTTACATATATTTCATCTACACATGTGCATATATTTCAATTTATTGACGTGCATATACTGGTATATATTTAAATTCATAAATGGCACATTAAGTTTTAATTAGCGCGTATATATTTTGAAACATCATATATATTGCACATATATTTTTAACATAAGCAAATATATGTACACATAGGTTTCTTCCATATGGGAAGATATATTGTACGCAGTATTAAAATATGTTTGCTCTCTCATTGAATGAGGGGGTGAGGGTGAGGGTAACTTTCTGCTGGGCCAAATCCAGCGTCCTTATCAAAGTACACTTTAAGCAGCCCTGCACTACAGCTGACATGTGCAACAGTAGATGGTGGTGACTCATAAGCGTCAACACAGGATTTTTTTCTTCCTCAGTGGGTGATGTGCCAAGATGCTAGTTTGTCAAGGTAACACTGAGAACAGAGAAATATATTTTCATTGTTTTAAAGTCAGCTATAATACAGCCTATACTCCTTAAAAAGATATTTCAACCATCTACAGCAATCTGCAGTCTGAAGAACGCGTTCACCGTGCAAAGAACCCTTTAATCATGCAAAGGGCTCTTTGAGTGTTTATAATTCTATATAGAACCATTTTCTTTGCCAAAGTACCCTTGAAGAATCATCTTTTATGAGAGTGTAGATAGCGATAAACCCTCACTGTTTTTTTAATATGGTAATATCCCTAGTTACAACAAAGTATTTGAAAAGGTTACTTTACAGGTGAAGGAAAAACAGTCTCAAACTTCTTGAACCCTAAAATTATTATTCAGTTAGTACTCCTAAGAGTTATTATTTATTAACTACTATGAACTATTCAACACCTACTCTGAAATTAATATGTAGGTGCTCTGAGAGAGAGGAATTAAAGTGAGATTCAGCATTTTTAATTTATAAAGGAAGTTACTGGGCTGCCTTATAATTTTGACTTAGTTGAACTTTAAATAATAATTTGACAAAGTAAAATACACTGATACTTGTTCAGTTAACTTACTATTAAAAGTTAAATTAACTCAAATATTGAAGGCAGCCCAGTTACTAACTTTTTTAGGTTAAAACAGAATTTTGTACATTGTGGGTTTATTGTGGGTTAATGTAAGATTTTTAAGTAAGTGAACATAACTCCTTACTAAGCCATGGGCCCACCGGCAGGCTCAAAGTTTTATTACACACTTCTATAACCTAAGAAAAGCTCCATTAGTTTGCTTTGAAGTCCTTGTGGTTAATGAATAATAAGCCTTAGTATGTAATAAGCCTGGAATATTAAGGGGTTAATATAACATTATTATTTTATTTTGAACCGTTTATATTGGTCCATGAAATGTTCATACAGTGTTAAAGGCAGGTGACATTATGATGTAAAATGTGGCACAGACAATTTATCGCTAAGTTAACTGGAGACCTAAGCAGAATTTAAGTAAACTGTAAGTTAGTAACCAATTAGAATTCAAAGTATCAGTTTATATATATTATTACTATATACACAGTTAAAAATGATGGTTCTTCAAGAGTTCTTTAGTAAAGAAAATGGTTCTATATAGAACCATGAACACTCAAAGAACCCTTTGCATGATTGGGTTCTTTGCATCACGAAAGGGTTCTTCAGACTGATGGAGAATGTGCTGTAAATGGTTCTGTACAGAACCTTTTTGAAAAGGGTTCTATATAGCACCCTATATTTTGGTGCTCTATGGAACCCTTTTCAAAAAGGTTCTTTATAGAATCATCTACAACACATTCTCCATCCATCTGGAGAACGCTTTAATGATGCAAAGAACCCTTTAATCATGCAAAGGATTCTTTTTCTTTACTAAAGAACCCTTGAAGAACCATATTATGAGTCTACTTTTTGATACCACCTCAGCATCTGAAGATTTGTACAGTTTTCTTTTTTAAAAAGCTTTGCTGGCTTTTGCAGGGCTCTGAGTATTATTTCCACTTGTGCACACTCACAGCATCAAAGTTCAGGGTGAAGCACATCATTGTGAGATCTACTCCAAACAGAAATGCTAATGCAGCGCTGATGAATTCAGTGACATTTGTTTGATTAACTTCTTAACCTATTTCATGAAAATCCATTATTGTTCTCAGAGCTCCAAAGCTCCAGTCGCGCTCATTTCTCACTGTCTGCACTCATTCATGTCATGGCCTCGGCAGCTAATGCCCCAGTAAACAACAGATGTCAGTCTGGAGAGAAGGAGAGAGAGAAGAGAGCGTTCCAGGAGAAAGCTCAGACAGTGGCACAAATGCTTCATATCACTCATTATATCCGGCACAGGGCTAAAGAGCGAACTCCAAAAACATGAGCGCATTTATGTAGCTGTAGGCTGCTCTTAACTCCGTCACCACACACGAGTCACCAGTGTGCTGTCTTTTATTAACCCTTATAAACTTTCGTTTTCCTATACTATTTAGATGTAATTGTGCAACTATATGGATCGCTCTGCTGAACTGGTCCAAGTCAGAGTTGAAAACACATTTCGAACTACCAACTTTAAACTAAAATGCTTTTGCTTTGAGTGACTCTACACTGACTGAAAGAATCGGTCATTCAAAGTATTTATTAAGGTTGAATAAAACTAGATAATTTACTTATTACCACATGAAGTAATTTTTTAGGTTGATCTGACGAGCCATATTTTACAGAGTTTACATTAATTCTATTTATTTTCTGAAAACAAACGATTGAATATTCCATTTTGAAACTGTAAAATAGGTTAAAGTTCAGCTTTATGTTACAGTGATGGTACTGAGCGTGGTTTGTTGGGTGGTTCACATGAATCAGCATGTACAATTACAAGAACTAACAAGGTAAAAAAAGGTAATTTGTGATTTCAGGTTGTCTTTAGTTGCCGTTCTGTACACTGTCAGAGTAATGATCACCTCAGTTTTATCTGGGTAGATTATATTCCTCCCAAATTTTGCAGCATCCATCACATAGATATAAAACATGGCAATGTGACTAGCCCTAGTTTCAACATGTTGGTTCCATCCCTACCTCTAATAAAGTGCCCTTTATTCAAATGACACAGAAGAACTCAAATGCGTTGCATTAGCAGAACGTCTGAGAAGGATTTTTGCTGCCAAGTCATGAGGCTAAGCCTAGACGTGCAGCAAAATAACTCTTCAGTTTGTCATTTTGATCATCTAACGGCTTTCATCTTTGATTCATGGGTATGAAAGGCATGCTTTCCCCCTCTGGTTCAACCCTGTTCCAGCCAATTTAATTTAGATTGCATTTAGTGTCAGGGGTTTCAGGGACTTTTCTTGTCCTTGAGTTGTTTCTTAACAATGCACACTTTTGAAGCTCTTCAGTCGTCTTAATTAAAGCAGCAAAATCACTTATAAATCAGACAACAGTATGTTCTTCAGGCAGTTATTCAAAAGCCTCTTGCCTCACGGTGGTTATTTTGAGAATGAATGTATTTCTGATTATTTTACACTTTTCAGTAGTAGCTTTTAGGAACTTTCAGAGCTTAGAAAACACTGGACAATTCCAAATCTCCAAAAAGGATAGCGGGCATCAAACGGTGGTCTCCTGGAGAGCGGTGCAGCCCCAGGAGAACAAAAAGATCTTTCAATTGAGTCTTTGAATTGAGTCAAAAGATAAAAAAGGGGGTTTGATCTCAGTGATGTGGTCCTATAAGCCATCGACCCCATGGAGATGGGCTCATGTTGAGTTGCAGCACAGACGTAAAAAGGGTGTTTGTTTATTTGTTTTTTTTTACTTTTTTTAGCCTTTTGTTCACACCAGTAAATAAAAAGGATTATTTTATTATTTTAAACTTTTTGTAACCTGTAAATACATGTGTTTTCTCCAAACACCTGTAAATACCTCAGGTTGTTAGCAAACTAGCATTTACATCTTAAACTGCCAAGATAATGTAAAATTGTCCACATATTTTATTGACAAAAGCAAAATAATGCAATAAAACACAGTACTATGCAAAAGTCAGAGAC